TCAAAGGCACCAGTCCCGTTTTTATCTTCTGCTTTTTACTTCTTCATGGTCATTTTTGTCCTATCCAAAATTTTTTTTCTTTCTAATTTTTGTTTGTCCTTTACGCATCTTTACTTTCTTCTTTTTTTATTTTCTTTTTCATCATCGGGTTTTCATCTTCTTATACTTTATTTTCTTCATCTACCATTTTTGTTCTTCTTTTTCTTTCAGTTTTCTTCTTCAACTTTGAGTTCTTCATCTCCTTATCATTTTTCCTTTTCACTATTTTGTGTTACCCATCTTGATCTTATCGTTCATGGTCTAGGACTTTTTGTTCATTTTTTCCTATTTTTTTACGTTTTCGTCAACTCTATGTTCTTCTATATGTTTCAGTTTATCTTTTTCTCTTCTTTTTCTACTTCGTTTTTCCCTTTTTCCTTTTTTCTGTTTTCTTTTTTGGTTTTTTCCTTTGCGTCCTGCTAGAGTATTTGGCATCTCTTACATTATTCCAAAAATAAACAGAATTCAGAAAGTCATCTTTAAAACAAGCAAAAAAAACAAAAGACTTAAAACCTGTTCATTAGACAATGAAGATGATTTATGATATGTTGACATGGTTTTAATCACGTTAAGTAAGGAAGAATAACTGACAACACAAAACAACAACATATAATCGAGGAACACTACTACTGGTACTGAAAAAACGGAAAAACAATAGAAAAAAATGAAAAATTGATTTATAAAAAATAAAGACGGTAAACAATACAACAAAAAGCCGACCAATGTAGAAACCAAACCACAATTGAGCTTAAGATACATTTAAAAAAGTAATATATTTATATATAGCTCTCAACTTAAGCTAGGATTTCCCACATCACATGTACATTTTTTTTTCAGATAATCTCGCTCAACAGATAATCTAGTCCGATTAAGGAATAAAGGGGAATTAAAAAGATTTTATTAACGAATAAAGGAGAATTAGTTACCTAGATAGAATGAGAGACCTTATAGCGAAAAATATACTTTGCATATATTATATATGATATGATTCTAAATGTTTTTTTGATTAAATTCAAATTTTTAAATTTTCGTTATTTTCTATTTTAAATATTTTTTGATTAATTTTGATTTTTAACAGTTTGTTTTATTAATTTACGATTTTAATATTTTTATTTAATTATGATTTTTAATATTTTTATTTAATTACGATTTCTAATATTTTTTAATTAATTTAATTTTTTTAATAATTTTGTTATTAAAACTAATTTACAAATATAAGAAGGAGTAAAGAGTAATTAGCCACCCTAAAATTGAATGAGAGAGCTTTAACTCAAAATTTTACCTTGCTTATAATATATATGATAAAGAAGATTATACACAGTAATACTTGATAAATTAATAATTATTATAAAATAATAAATATTGCTGGTCCCAAATCGGTTCAATATAAAAATCCATCAAATTCGATAAATAATAAAATAATTATTTTTAAAAAAATTCCTATGTAAATATATGATCCTAACAAAAACATAAATTTATAATTATATAAATTTATGCAAATATATATAAATATAATTTTCTAAAATATGACTAATATATTTGCTTTTACTTAAAGTTAAAATGTAACTGGATCTCATCTCTCTAATTATAATAGCAGTAGTTTTTACAGTTGTTTTACGATATGCATTCAAAATTATGATTTTTGATGTGATAGTTAATTTTGTTTATCTGTAAATGCTTCTAAATGTATTGTAGTGTTAGCTTCAATTTTACAATCAATAATAAGGATACGAACCATAATTTTTTTTATAAATTTTAAACTTATGAACATTTATTTTTTATATAGACAATCAAATATGTTATTAAAACTATTCTATTGCAATAACTATGATTGTTAATCATAATTTGTATTGCAATCCAACTCAATTCAAAAAATAATTTAAAAAATTTATAGGCAAAAAATTAATTTTTACGATAAATTAATAAAATATGGTTCCAACATTATTAATCTATAGAGATTTTACTATATTATCATAATATCATTTTGTGAGTTCTTTCAAAATGTTCTCTAAGAGTCTGGACTGAGAAAAGAAACATACTAGCAAGGCAATCACGTACAAGACAACAAATCAAAAGCTTGTGGGGCTATGAAATGAATAAACGCTAATTAATGATCATCAGCTGCATAGCAGGTTAGCTAGAAAATAAGGATTACGAAGATCTAGTCCCTCCAATTCCTCAAGCACTCTTTTGACATTTTGATCTGCTCAAAAATTTAATTTTTACAGCTACTCTGTAAAAGCACATATATGCAATTGAAGTATGTAGATGTCGAATCAAAAATACTAGAAATTTGCTCAATAAAATATTTAGGCTTAAATTTTTTTTTTTGGGTCGAACTGTGAATTTCATTAATCATTCAATGTGATATAATAAAGCTCTGAGAGCATCTTTCGCAAGAGTGTCAGCCTCGACATTATCAGTACAAGGGACAAAGATGAAAGAAATCAGAGAAAAGGATAACGCAAG